CACGTGACCCAGCCAATCGGCCTCAAGAGCAGGAGGATTGTGGGAGGGGAAAAGAAGCTTGTGGGGGGAGAGACAGGCGTGTGGAAAGCCGGTGGTGGCAGTTGAGGCTCTGAGGATTTTTCCTGAGAGGTTGTTTTGTTTGGCGTGTTTGGTTCTAAAAATAAAGTTAGTTTCTTTTGACAAGTGGCTTCTGATTGTGCCCAGCCAGACTGCGGCAAAAAAATAATAGAAGTTTGAAAATTAAAAAAAAAAAAACTTCACTTTCCTTCTATTCAATAGTGCATTTTTTTTTCCAATAGTGCATTTAAATCAAACTTTCTCTGGGAAGGTTTCCCCGCCCCCCTCAGTTAGCCAGTATAATTCCTAAAATCCCCCATCTTTGGTGTTTTTCTAATTGTAATTTCTTTGAGGATGGAGTTGTGTTGCAGTATATACTGTTCTCCATTCTGTAGGCATGTTCAGTAAGGTCTGGTTGACTAGTGATGGTCTGATTTCCTCAAAGCCTATTTTGAAGTCTGATGGAACAGCACTAACCCTCCAGCTGATTTAGCCAAAACCTTGGCCATGACTAGCACATCTTGGCTATGAGGGCAAGGTGGCTGCAGTTGCTGCCATCCTGTTGCTCTCCAGGTCTGAGGTTGCTGACTAGTCAGCTGGTAGCAGACTATTTGGGGCCTGGCCCTTTCTATGTACATCTTTCCCCAATCAGCTTTCTTGTTCAAGGAAGAGGCCCTTCTCAGTTTGAGTTGCTGCCTCTTAGTATTATCTGTATAGTTGTACTTCCTTGCCAGAACCATCATACATATTCTCAAGAGCTCTCAGTCTTGTTAAAAACCATAAAGGATGGGTAGCAAAAAAAAAAAAAAAAGAAGAAGAAAACAAAGGACTGGGAGGAGAGAGAAGGAGGGAAAAAAGAGGATAGGAGAATGGAGATTCATGGCCTTTCAGTGCAGTAGGTTGCTCAATTCTACCTAAAACATCTCCTGCACTCAGGACCTACCATTGCACATGAAATTACTTTGCCAGGGAAGTCTACACAGACACTGAATTTTTTTTTTCACATTTTTATTGGTGCATTATGGTTGTACAAAATGATGGGATTTGTTGCTACATTTACATGCACACTAACACCCCCAGCACTTCCCCCTGCCTTCCCATCTCCCACTCCTTGATCCCTTTCCTAAACTCATCTCCCTTTAATTATCATGAGATCCAGCCCACCTTTCTTTTCCTTTATTCTTTGTTGTGTTTTTCTTTCTAAAGGGCTTGTGCAACCCTGGCCACACTGGAAGTCCTATAGGTTAGAGACTCTACTGACCTCTAGTAGAGACTGCTATCATCTCTAGAGATTTTTCCAGGCTTGTTACAAGGATCAAATGAGAGAATATATGTAAATATGCGTTATACTATAAAATAATATTTGAACCCTTGATGTTTTTGTAAGCTCTGGTGGGCCCTGACAGTGGATTAATGTTGTGCAATATTGTTTTTGTGGGATTTTGGAACAGCTATCCTATACCTGTGTCTAAAGAGAGCCAGATCCATCTACCGAATGAAGAAAATGGGGTCTCTGGGAGGGAAAAAAAATGAGTGGAAGGCACCTAAACTGTGTATGTCAAGGGAGTGGTTGTCCCATATTTCAGAAAAGCCTTGGGTTTTCTGAGTGTCCTCTGATGGTTAAAATTATTTTCCTTAAGAGTAATTCCCAAGAAAATGCTTGTGATTTCACTATCAATGAAACTGTTCACACTTCTTTTAAAGCTTCCATTAAATTATGGTAAATGACAGTGTGAGATCATGTGGACCCCATATGAGTGTGTTAAGTTTGCAGTATTATCTATTTCTTTATTTTAGTTGTAGACGGACACAACACCTTTGTTTCATTTATTTATTTTTATGTGGTGCTGAGCTGAGCCACAACCCCAGCCCCTGGTTGCACTATTTTAATAACTACCAAATTAAATCACTATTAGAAAGTGACTAAAAAGTAAATTGTTGCTGTTTTGCTCCTTCCATGAAAACAACTCCTTTTTCTTTTCAGCTTCCCCACATGAGACGCCATATCAGGTCCTCACCTGGATGCGTGACTCTTCAACCTCAGGACTTGCAGAATTAATGGAATGCCGTCCTAAGATTGTTGAGTTATGCGTTTCTGGGCATTTCATCTCTACAAAGAAGCACCCATTCCCTTCCCCAAAGACTAAGGCTGAAAGATTTTTCTCTCTAGGAAAGAATCTTCCTTGTCATCTTTGTGGTCTCAGCAGTCAGAAAACCAACTGGGAAGGCTTTGTAGTTGGAAGATACTTTGTCAAGAACCTGACCCTTGGCGGTCAGGCTCCCTTAAATTTGCAGGCTTGGAGGTCCCTTGCAGAGCCTGTCTTAAAAGAGTAAATATTTTCTATTAATTTTCAGTGACTTAATTTTCCATTTTCTTTTTCTAATAGGTCCAGTTAAAAACAAGAAAAAGGGTAAGTTAAGCTCTTGATTTAAAAAATTGTCTTGTCATGTCTTTTCTAAAGTTAGAAGAAAAAAAATCAAGGGAGTAGGATTTTTGTGTTAATTTCTTTCAACATTGTTTGTCTATTATTTATTCAATCACCTATGATGTGTATGAGCATTGTAGTTTTTAAAGAACAAAAAAAAATGGTTCTTCAGTAGTGGTCCATGAAAGATAAAACTGATTCTCTAGCAACATATAAAAATTGTTTTTGTTTTTCTTATTGCTTTCTTCACACAGGGCCTCGTGCATGCTAGAGCAAGTGTTCTACCCTGAACTACATCTCTGGCCTATCCTCATCCTTCCTTACTCTTTCCCCTGCTTTTCCTTTTTCTCTGTTATTCCCTCCTTTATCAAATCAGTGATCATATATGAATGAAGACCTGAAGTGCTTATAAGGAAAAAGGTACACTACCTATGGAAAAAAATGTCAATATTTTGTTTTTTGGCCTAAATCTCAACCTATTCAATTTCCCAGATACTCAGGGAAGATATGTCTTATTTGTAGGGATTCAATATCCTTTTCTCTATGATGGGAAAACTAGACTGTAGTGTTACCCTGATCCTTCAGTCTTTCAAAAGAAACTTCTAGTTGGGCAGCTCTGTTGTACTGTTTCTGGGCCAATAAGTCTCCATTGTTCCTGAGATGAGACCGGCCCAAGGGCTGGTACAAGTGCTCATTTACTTGAAGAGAAGCATCCAAAGACAAAACAAGCTCCAAAGAAAGGACTAGGTGATATGATACACTCCTTATGTCTAAAAAAAAAACCAACTATGAAACTAGTATATTAGCTTGTTTCTGGGTTCTGGCCTGAGGGGATGATAGATAATGTAAAAATAATGATTTTTCATTTAAATGCTTCAAGTGAAATGACTCTATTAAGATTTATGGAACTTTCTAGAATAGGTTATCAACCTCAGACTGAGTCAAAAAGACTGGCTTCAGGTACAGTCTGCCACTTCTGACTGCCAGGGTACTTTGCTGCCTTGAGGTACTCAGGACCCCATGGTAAATTTGTTTTCCTTTTGTAACAAAACTGAGGCCTCCAGAGGACCTCAGCTGAGCAAGATTAGAAAAAAGCAGGAGACTGGAATCAGCGAAGAAACCTTTCTCTGTGGGGCCTGTGCATTCACCACCAACATACTTTTTTTAATATTTATTTTTTAGTTGTAGTTGGATACAATACCTTTATTTTACTTATTTATTTTTATGTGGTGCTGAAGATCATACCCATGGCCTCGCACATGCTAGGCAAGCACTCTACCACTGAGCCACAACCCCAGCCCACCAACATACTGTCTTTTAAGAAAGTAAATTTGGTCTTTAAGTGTTTAGTTCTTAACTCTTGTCACATCCCTTTAAGGCAGAAATTACAATTCGGATCATTGCCCAGCACTGCTACCTCGTGTATGGGACATTATTGAGAAGAAAATGCACATGAGCTTTAAGCATTTACTTTAGCTGAAAGTGATTTAGAAACTATTTAACATGGATTTCCTTGGACACAGTGAATAGGCCCATGCCTGAAGAGTTAAATTGAGTTATTCCCTTAATTTTCACACTTTAATGGAATTTTCCTACTTCTATAATTCATTCATATTCTCTCTCTCTCTCTCTCTCTCTCTCTCTCTCTCTCTCTCTCTCAATTTGGTTGTGATTTCAATATTTAGGGATTTGCTAAAATGTTAGGGAACTGTCCCTTTGATGAAGTTCAACTTTGAAAGGAATATGCATATTCTTCTAGGACTACACAGGGTAACTTTCTAAGCATGAAAGTCTCTAGACTTTTGTATCATGAAATATTCTGTTAGGAAATCTGAAGAAGGAATTCAATCATCTAAAGTCAGCCTCTGGTCCAGAGGTCATTTTGAACATGCTCTTCTCTGGGCCTAACTTTCTATAAGTATGCAAATATGAGAAGCACACTTCCCTGATTGCAGAGAGGCAAAGACCAGCTGCACAACTAGATCACAGCAGGAACTTTTTCTCAAATGCCTTCTAACATTTTCATAAGTGAACATTCTCTGTTTACACTGCAACCATTATTCTCTTGGACTGGAGGAGTTTCTGGCTGTAATTCTTCCAAAATTACATTAAGCAATTACAGGAGACTCACATTCTTGAAGCTGAAGTTTTTGCTACCCACAGAACACCCTCTAGCTGGAAAAATCTCTGTTAGGCCCAAAAATGCTAAGATACAGGATGGCCTAATATGCACCATCCTTTGTGTCTACTCCACCCAAAAATAATGAAGGAGAAACAAGCCTTACAACCAAGCTAGGAACGTTTCCTGGCTGCTAAGGGTAGGTCAGTCCTCCTAGGGAACCTTAGTCTCAGGAAGAAACTTAAGGAAATCATTGAGGCCAACCTCCTCATTTCACAGATGGAGAAACTAACGCTCAAGAAGAGGAAGGGATATGCCCCAAGTGTGACTATGGCAGAGCTGGGGCTTACATTCTTATCTCCGGAGTACAGATTCCACTTCTTTCCACTACACTAGCTAGAATTGAAACTTGGGCGCCAAATAAGCCTGATTTGGAAGCAGTCCAAATCTGAAGGGAGATGGTTTTCCTGTTCAGCATCTTAAAATTGGCTAGATGTAGAAACTGAGCAGATCCAATCTTCTGCTGCTAAGTTCAGGGAAAACTCTAAAGCTCAGACCTCTAGGTCTTTAAGGCTACAGGGACTCTGGGAGAGATACTCTCCAGACCTTCCTTTCTTTAACTCCCTGGAGAAAAGTGATCTGTTCTTTCATTCCAAATGCAGATGTGGATAAACATGGACAGTTGGCCTCTTGAGTGGCTTTGTCATGAGGATTTGGTTTCTTGGACATGAGGCATTATTTTCAAAGGAGGACCTGATAAGTCAGTACAGGATTTTGCAGGCTGAGTCTGATGAGCAGGGAGTTGGAGTCAGTATGAAGATTTTAAAGAAAGGGTTGTCTTTAAAATTAAACTACCTCAGCTGAAGGCATTGTGGTGGAGTCCTGTAAAAGGCTTCCATTCCTGGGACTTCCACAAAATTGTGAGAGGGTGGTAAAGGGAAGAAGAAGACACTGACTTCTGAGTGACTAGCTGCAGTCCTCAAGTGGAGCTGCTCAGAGCAGAGAAGTAAACAGAAAGAGCTGGAGGTTTGGGTTTAAGTCTCATTTAGCATGACTACATCTGGGTGGAAATGTTCGAAGGACAAGAATATGAAATAGAAGGACTGAGATTGTTCTGGAAATATAGTGAGGACAGAAGGGAGTGGAGTTGGTGATTATAATGAATAATACATTTGAGAATAGGGCCTCTGAGAAAAGACTCTGGGAAGTTGGATTATTTAGCATACGAAAAATAGAGATTGATGGGTAACCTAATGTCTTTGAGTGTATAAAGGTTATTATGTCAATGATGCTAACTATTCTTCTCTGTCTACACAAAGGATGGAATAAAAGTTTAAGCTGCCATAGGAGGGATTTCAGTTATATCTACCAAAGAACTTCCTAACAGTGAGCAGTGAGGGGTGATAAACATTGGAACATGTTACCAAGGGAGTTTGCAGAATTTCCTTTCCCAGAGATCTTTAAAAATAGAGTTTAGAGAGGTCAGCTGAGAAAGCAATGCCTGCTGCCTTCTCCTCAGTTCTCTCTACTCTGCCTCCCCTTACTTCCTGTTGTTTCTCAATATCCTCAATCACTCTTAGCTCCCTCCCTCCCTTTTTCCCTCTCCTCCTTTCCTCCCTCCCCATCCATTTCTCATTCCCAGCTAGCACTGCCCCCATCCCCATCCCCACCCCCATCTCCTGCATATCCTGACTCCAGTAAGTGTCTTCCCAGAGCCAATGGCATTCCTGAGGTTAGGCTGTCCAGCTTCCTCTTGTCATCCACATCAAATCCACCAAACTAGGGAGTTAACATGAAAGTCCCACACTCTTCAACAATGGCCCAGTTCTGTAAAGAACCACAAAGTGACCCATAGGTCTGACTGCTTGGTAGTTGTTGTCCTTTGGACTCAGCTGAATTGTAACCTTCTCTTTCAAGACTCCCCTGACCTCTTCAGCATTTGGTCCTTACCATTAATGTAGCACTCCTACTATTCTGTGACTATTTCCCCACTAGACTGAGCTCCTTGAGGTCCATTTATTTCTGTATTTTCCTATCCAACTGAGAGAAGGGGTAGGGTATGCGTGATAAAAGTGTCCAGCTCTTTATCAGGAACTCCCAGCCAGAGGGCTGATTTTATGTCATTGAAAGTCTCTAGAACTCCTGACAATATACTCCTGACAGTGCACTCTCAGTAGCAAATAACTACAAATATAACTCTGATTCTTTTTTTTTTTCCAGGAAAGAAGGCAGGGCCGCCTGGGCCCAATGGTCCCCCAGGACCTCCAGGACCACCAGGACCTCAGGGACCCCCAGGGATTCCAGGAATTCCTGGAATTCCAGGAACAACTGTCATGGGACCACCTGGTCCTCCAGGTCCTCCCGGTCCTCAAGGTCCCCCTGGCCTCCAGGGACCTTCTGGTGAGTTCTCCTGTCTCTTCACCCCCCCCAAGCACCTTATCAATACTTTTACAGAGCAAGAGAGGGTGATCCTGAGAATGGTTTCAAATAGTGGTGATGGGATTGATGTGCAATAAGAAACGCAGGTCTCCTTTCCCAGTGTAGAGCTAGGAATTGGACAAGCCAGAAGAGTCTGGCCTACTCTACCTTCTTGTATGTCAATGACAGGCTACCTGTTCTTGCCCCATGTGAAATCTTCCATCACAATATCCCTTGACTTTAGGCCTCCCTATAGTGTACCAGTAAATTTACATGAGCCAGAGAGAGGGGCCATGATGATTCATTGGGTTTCCTGTGGAGGATGGAGTTGGTCTGTTCTGATTCCCAGCATCTAGCTCCACATACGATGCTTGCATGGAAACAGATTATAGGGAGAGATGTTGAAGGCTGGAGGGTAGTTTCATCCCTTGAACTCTGAGGTGCCTTTCCTATAGATGTATAGAAGTAGTCACTGATGGTTAAGTAGCTGGAAATTTATGAGTCGCTCAGACTGTGAATCCAGCAGACCAAGGCATCATGGCCATCCTGTTCTGCAACAAAATGCTTCTTGCACTAGATCCTTATCCCACAATACTGCCTAAATGCCATTTCATCCCTTTGCATCTTTTTCCTGGGGCCCAGAAGAGCAGCCAAAAGGTATGGCTGCAGACTCAGACCTGCCTAATTGGAGTTGACAGGAGTCAGACTGGACTTAGGTCAGTAGTTATCTCTTTCTCCTGCTCACTTCCTGTACCTTGGGGTTTAAAAGAAATGGACTCTTTATAGCCAATTTCTCTAGGTCTGAGAATTCAGCAGCAGGACTCATATTCTTTAACTTGGAATTCAAATAGGGCTAAGCAGTGTTACCATGGCCACAAGAGACAAAGTTGGTTTTTTAATCCAATCATTCCACAAATATTAATTGAGCACTTTCTGTGTACGGAGAAATACATTGCTGAGTGGTCCCTGTTCCTGTAGAGTTTATGTCCTAGAGGAGGAAGAGACAATTAAAGAAACCAGATCTTTATAAATGGTTATGGGCTCCATGAAGACTATTAACAGACAGCATCACTCTCCACGGGTTCTCAGTGGGGCTTACCTTAGGCCTGTATTGGCAAGAGGCCAGCTTCCCTGCTGGATGCCATGCCTACTGAAGATGAAGTTCAGGGACAGAAAGGAGAAAGAAAGGGCATCCTCTCACTTCCCAGGGCCCCCCATTGCATTCTGACTCTCCCCACAGCTCTAAGACTTGGGGAAGAAAGCTCAGACAGGGCTGGCCCCAAGGAGCAAGGTTCAGTGCCACTGGCTGCTGGGTGGGGAAAGGGTAGAAAGAGTACACCCTCTTATTGTCCTGTCCTATTTTGTAGGTGCTGCTGATAAAGCTGGAAGTCGAGAAAACCAGGTTGGCTGGGAATTTCTGTCTTCCTGGGGCAGAGGGAAGGCCACAGGCTTAGAGCAGACTTTCAGGCAGCTCCCTACCAAATTTCCTGAAGCTTTATTTGGTGAAGACATCTTGGAGGTTCTGAGGATTTTCACTTACAGACCCCTCCCATGTCTATGAATAGAAAAACTTTGTCTCAGGGCCTGCCTTTAGCTATGGGAACCTGTGGGAACCTTTAGCTATGGGACTTTTTCCCCCTCACTCCACAGGAGACAGAGGGTCACCAGAGCTAGACTCAGTAGTGAATGGAAATGAGCCAACAGTCAGGAATGTTCACCTTGGCCTCCGACTCCCCACATACCCCAGACACCTAGTTGGCACTCAAAGTGCCTAGGAGACAGAGCTGAGGAGTTTAAGAGTGTGTCCTTGAAAAATAGCCAACTACCTCCAAGCCAAGCCCAGCCTAGGCTTCTGCCTTAATGGCCCCAGGGGCTCCTCCCTAGTCTTTGAGCTTCCTAATCTGTCTCTGTTGGCAGGTTCTGCTGCCTTGCCTGGCTTTGTCTCATCTCAGCCACCCTCACTACAGCTGTTTGGCCACCGTGATAAATCTACACAGCTGCACAGTGCACAATGGCTTCGTGGGGCCATTTTATATCCATCACCTCATTTGATCCTCAGACGTCCCCATGAGAGAGGCCAGAGATTCTTATAATCCCCATTTTTCCCTGTGAGAGAAGCCAGAGATTCTAATAATTCCCATTTTACAGTTGGGAAAATGAGGCTCAGAGGCACTATATTTAGCTGAAGTCACATAGCGTGGAAGTGGCAGAGCTACAAAATTATATTGCCCTCTAGTAGAAATGTAGTCACTAACATCCCAAGACCGGGGAGAGGAATAAGAATTGGGATACAAAAGAAGACTTAGAAATGAGGGATAGAAACCTGGGAACCATGGCAGAGTGAGAAACTATTACAGTGACTACTCTTTATCTTTTTCATCCTCCCAGCCAGCTGTGGTGCATCTACAGGGCCAAGGGTCAGCAATTCAAGTCAAGAATGGTAAGAATCAAAGTAGGCTGCCTCCCTGAAAGGAGCATCTCTCCTCCCTCATCCCCAGCCTCCAAATAATTGTCCAGCCTAGTTCCTCCCAGGCCTATGAGGTACCCTTGGCATAGAAGGCCATTCTCTACTCCATCGTGCCCTCTACTGGCTATCCACAGTAATGGCTTGCACCAAGATCAGTTGCTACACCTAAATTGCATTTAGAATTCACTGATGAGGGAACTGAAAGGGACTTGAGACATCATCCATCCAGATATTCTTGAAGGATGGAGTCTATATCAGAGTCGCCATAGAGATATGTGTAGTTTGATAAACACTTTCACAATACAAATTCGAGATGGGAAAACTACATAAAATTGAGCTCTTCTTGTGTGATCACTCTAAAAAGAGAATGAGTGGGGGTGCTTCTCAGGGAATGAGGATTATGTTAGAATCCCTAGGGAGTATGAGATGCTAGTGTCTACCAAAAGGGAGAACATGTTTAATGAGGTTGAGGAACACTGCTTTAATGTAACCCCTGCATTTAAGAGATGGAGAAATAGCTGGGTGTGGTGGCACATGCCTGTAATCCTAGGGACTCCAGAAGCTAAGGCTGGAGGACTGAAAGTTCAGGGCCAACCTCAGCAATTTAGCAATGCCCTGCAACTTTAAAAGATCCTGTCTCAAAATTTAAAAAACATAAAATGTAAGGGCTGGGGATGTGGCTCTGTGGTTAAGCACCCCTGGGTTCAATGCCTGGTACCAGAGAAACAGAGAGAGGGAGGTGGGGAAACAGAGTCCCATAGGGATTGGATAATACCATAATAATGTATGTGGCTTATGTTTGTATGGTACTTTAGAGTTTTCAACATGCTTTCTTTGTTTTTTATTTCATTTGACCCTCACAACTGCCCTATGAGGTAGGTATTAGCACCTTTCTACAGAGACAGAAAGCAAAACTCAGAGAGGTTAATTAACTGGCCAAGATGTCATAGTTTTTTAGGAGCTGAGATTTGAAACTGTTTGCCTGGCTCTTTGTACTGTGTTATGCTCCTTCGGTGATATGTATGTCCACTCCACTGAATGATTAGGTTAATTTTCTTCCCCAAAGAGACATGAACATTCATTAAAGAACAGCACTTTGAAATAATGTCCAGTCCCCAGGGTGCCCAAAGCCTAAAATGCAAGAACCCCCAGGAGCCTTAGGAAATAGCAAGCTAGCCAAGATGCCAGATGCTTGCAGAGCTTGGACTGAAAGGGAGGGGTTGTGAGTATGGAGACGGTAAATGAAGGCCAAGAAACCTGCTATATGGGGACAGCTTTTAAGAGCCAAGTCAGTCCTGAACTGGTTGTGCTGAGTTTCCTTAATGATTGGACTTAGCTACTCCCCTTGCCTGCCACCTGGATGTCTGACTTAATAGCCTCATAAGCACAAAAAAATGAGCAGAATGGCACCAAAATCCTAGCAGTCCTGCTGGGGACCAGGTGCCATGGGCCCCAGAGCCTGGAGTGGGCCATGATTACCATCTGTCCAGGGAGGACAGGGACACATAGGGAATAGATTTGTTTGGGTGTCTGGAGTGATGGCCTCAGTATTTATTCTGTGCCAGCAGCTACTGATTTTGTTCCTGCTAACATATAGCAAGACTGTTTCCAGCCCCCCTTGGCCACTCCCCAGTAGTTGTCCATGCTGACCTTTAGTTCCACCAGAAGAAGTGAGGGAGTCAGCGGTGACAGGACATCATCCAGAGTAGTCCACTGAAGAGATGGAGCCAGGGCAACTCCTCCTACTCCATCCTATGTATGTATCACCTTGAGGAAACATGGCCACCTATTCCAGAGGCCTCTTTCCTCACACCTCGGAGAGGCAGCCTCCTGAGACTGACCAAGGATGGATATTCAAAACATAATTTCTTGGGTGAAAAATGGATGGCTGAGAGGGGGAAAAGGCTCCATGAACTTGGGTTCCCTCCACTCCACCCTGTCATAGTAGGAAATAATATCCCTTTTTCTGCAGGATGAAAAAGGGAAGTTTTCCTCTACCCTCATGTGCTGACTCCCCCTGACTGAGGTAGAGCCAAGAGATAGATGCCTTGCCAAGGGTGCCTCAACTCCCAGACACCCTCCCCTATCCTTCTGGCTGGTCTACTGCAACCTGGCAGTCTATCCCTCACTCTCTTAAAGATCCCTCACACCTATGGGGCTTGATTACTGGTGGTCACTAGCTCCAGCTGACATGGAGTCTCAATCACCTCTGATCCTTAAATGTTCTCCAGATAGACCCATTCATTGGGCTGAGTAATTGCCTGAGGACCCAGGGAGGCTTTCCAGAAAGGAGTGGGTGTGGAGGAACCATAAAAAGGACTCTCTTAAGGAGGAGAACCTATGAAACAGGAGAGGGATTCAGGAGCTACTGCTGGGAGAGTAAAATTGAATAATAAGACCTAGCCTGCCACTCAGTGTCTGAATTTTGCCTGTGCAGGCCCCATAAAAAAAAAAAGAAAGAAAGAAAAGAAGAGTGCCCACTCTTCTCTTACCACCAGCACTCCAAATTCTAACTGGAAGGTGTTGGTTAAATACTCTTTCAGACAAAAGAGTCAGGAAAGGAGGGATGAAGAAAGAAAGGCAAAACACAGGGCTCTGAGGCAGGCCCAGGAGTCCTTTAATAAACGGCACTACTTCCCTGCTTCCAAATGCTCTTCTTAAAGCTTGGCCTCTGGGCCTTCCTAGTCATCTGGGGCAAGGTAGGGGATTGTGTACTGTTTGGTATTTATTTCTATTGCCCAGATTATTCTGACATGTACTGACTGACTGCCCTTCTCTCATACTGAGATCTTTCAGGTGGAGTGCTCAATGACTGGTCTCGCATCACTATGAACCCCAAGGTGTTTAAGCTACATCCCCGCAGCGGGGAGCTGGAGGTACTGGTGGACGGCACCTACTTCATCTATAGTCAGGTAGAAGTGAGTACGGTCTTAGGCCTAACTCTTATATCCAGAATGCAGATCCGGTGCAGGCCACATAGGGGCACTATGGAGACAGCCAAGACTATCCATTGGCTAACTTCCTGCTTTGGCAGGCTGGGTGGGGGTGAAAGGGTACTTCCCCGGGGGAGGGCGTTGTAAGGAGGAATGAGGTGGGGGGGGGGCTGCTTCATTTTTTTTCCTAGCCATGTATCATGGAAAAACTGAAGAGAGGCCCCTCCCACATCCTACTATCTGATTCCCTCCTGCAGGGCCCCAGGCCCTTGTTTCCCTCTGAACTGTTTGGTTCTACTGCCAAACTTGAGCTTGGTCTCAGCATAGTTTTTGAGAGTCAGTTCCAGGGCTGCTGAGAACTGCTTCCCACAACACTGCTAGCTTGGGCATTATAATGAATTGTGCTCCTGCGGACTTTCTCTCCACCTCAAAAACATTTCTGACTCTTTCCTTCCTCTTTCTCCCATTTGTGTCTCTGTCTTTCTGTTTCTGTTATTCCTGCCTCCTTCCTTCTGTCATTCTCCCAGGCCTTTCTCCCTCTGTTTTTTGTCCTTTCCCTGCCCTGGGCCCACTCCCCAGGTCTGCCAGTGCCCATCCACTGCCATTCCCCATTGGGTGCCCCCACTGGGGGGGGGGTCTCCACAGAGTTAGAAGTAGATGAGCCTTGAGATTGGGGCTTCTCTGGGGTGGGCAGCAAGCAGGCGGATGGACAGAAGGACTACGGAGCCAACAGATGGGTCTCACAGGAGAGTGGCCAGAGAAGGTGGGTCAATAAGCATTCGCTGGGCACACTGAGCATCCTGGCATAGCTTGGTCCTGACCCAAGAGATAATATAGCACCTGAATACACAGCTCCTAGCTTTCATAAAGCGATTTAGGGTGTCAGATGGTCTCAACCCCTATGGGGCATGTGGGTATGACCCCAATGTCCTACAGACTACGTGCCATTTGGTGGTGGCCAATAATCAAAAGGGGATGGGGCATGATGACTAAGGGTAATGCAGATGGAAAAAATTACTTTTCTAAATGTAGGGGAGAATTGAGAGAGGCCCATGCAGGCTAGGAAAATCCCTGTGACACCAAGCCATCAAGCATAGGTTAGTGTCTCCTCCTGGCCATGGGAGTGAAGTTAGGTACCTGGGTTCTGCCCTTCCAAATTTGATATATCATTTGTGGTGGATGGCTCACCATCTTTCTGGATCTGTTTCCTTAGTCATCTAATGGGAGTGTCAAGGGGTCCTGTGATTAGGGAGAGGAGTTTAGTGCTGAGAGGGGCTGCTGCAAGCTGAAGGGGCTTCTGTTAAAGAGCTGAGAAAATGGAATACCATTACTATGACCTCCCTGGGGATCAGTGACTTCTAAGTTTAGTAGCACATAGTCATTGGGGCTTGAACTTGGGAGTTAATTTTTATCTAGAGCATTAATCAAGCACTGATTGAGCACCTAAGGTGTACAGATCACTGTGCTTCATACCAGAGATGGGGTGAGGAGGTGTTGAAGGGGCAAACCAGGCACAATATTTTACCCTCACAGAGTTTGTGACAGGTGTGCTGTTGTAAGAAAGGTCTGCTCAGCCACCTGAGCCCCGTGGAATAGGGGAAAGACAGTGCATGAACCTATCACCCTGCTGCTCCTATTGGCCCACTAGCATGCCTTCAAGTGGCACTGCTCCCTCTACAAGGTACACTGGCAGCTCATCTCAGAGGGTCCTGTCTGGTCACTATAGGGGAGGGCCCCCACCCTCTCTTTCCTCTCTTCCCCAATCCCTTCTTGTTGCCTCTCACCCAGGTTTACTACATCAACTTCACTGACTTTGCCAGCTATGAGGTGGTGGTGGATGAGAAGCCCTTCCTGCAGTGCACCCGCAGCATCGAAACAGGCAAGACCAACTACAACACCTGCTATACTGCGGGTGTCTGCCTCCTCAAGGCCCGGCAGAAGATCGCCGTGAAAATGGTGCACGCCGACATCTCTATCAATATGAGCAAGCACACCACCTTCTTTGGGGCCATCAGGCTGGGCGAAGCCCCTGCATCCTAGACTCCCCCCATTTTGCCCCTGCCCATGTCCCTGCCCCAGGTTTGGGAGCCGGGACTCCCAGAACCTCTAAGTGCTGCTGTGGAGTGAGGTATATTGGCGTTGCAGCCACAGAGAGAAACGCCCCTGTGCTATTTATTCCCCAGTGACTCCAGGATGATAAGGCCTGCTTGATTTTCCAGAATGACTTTGATTTAACAGGACAGTTGATGGAGCCCCAGGGTTTACAGAAAGCAGAAACCTTCTTTGGCTCCTTATTGACTGGCTTATGGCATGACTCTTCAACCCCGAGGTCCCTGTTGTCAGATTTATCATTGTTGCACTAAAATGAGGATCCAGGGCAGTGGACCAGAGAAAGTGAAGGTGCACTCCAGACTCTGGGGGTGATCCCAAGGGTGCTGCTGCTCCTCTCTTGGCTGGGGGTGGGGCAAGGGTGGCATTAGGCTACAGCCTAAGGAGAGAGCCAGGAAGGAAAAGATAGGTGCTGGTGGCAGAGACCAGGGGAAAAACCTGCCAAGCAAGTGTCCTTGGCAGTGGAAGCATTCTTGCTGCTCTGCACTGTGACCTGCAAGAGGGTCAGGGAGCCCTTCCCACTCAGGCTGAGAGCCACACTGTGGCAACTTTCTGGGCTCCAGAGACGGGAACTTAGCTCTGCCAGGGAACCATTGCAGGAACAGCCACAAACCTGCCTGCATAAGACTCTGAATCGGTACTTGGGGCCACATGTCTCTTTGTTTACAGCTATGCTGCATGCTCAGAAAACTCCCTAGGGTCCCCCTCGCAATTGCACCTGCCCCAATCTGACTAGAACTCCTGTCTTCTTTCTCCACAGAGCCTACCTCTGTCTGAGACAGGTGCCTAACCTGGGACCTGTGCTTATGTGAGTCTGGGATATTCTTTAGCTTACCTGGGCACAAAGAGAAGTTTCCATTTACTAAACAATACAAGTAGTATTCATCTAATTCTAATCAAACTGTGTCTGGGGGCAAGGGGTTGGACTGGATGACCTCCAAACGTCCCTAAGTCAAGTTCTAATATTTGTGACTCTTAACAGGCAGCTGCCACAGTAGCCTTCTGAATTCCCAAACCCTAGACTGCCCTTGGGCATCAGCAAAGCAGAGTTTTACTACCTGGCCTAGAAAGGGCAAGAGGTAGGGTTAAGACAGGGGAGTTTTGTCCAAGTTGCCGCAACCCAAGTGATCATTAGGACAGGCTTCATCCAAAAGGACAGCAGCCAATGGCCTATTAGAGCTTAGTCACCCCAGAGCCCCTGCTGCTTCACTGAAGTCAGGCTCAGGAGAAGCCAGCATCTGGGCATTGGGCAGGGTTCTGTGCCCTAGCTCAGGTCCAAAGGCACCTTGGCCCAACCCCAAGCTTCCTGCCAGGTCAAATGCTAGGACCATTCAAGGGCTTTATTTCTACCTGCCTGGATACAACCTGGCTTCTAAGTGCTAGGTCCAGGCCAACGCTGTGGGGTCAGCCTTGTACAGTTTGCTCCTCTTGTTCCTAAAATCTGTTTTCTTCTGAGGAGATGGGAATACATTCCTTCAGGCAACTGGAATCTACCAAGAACAACAGGTATTTCTTTCTCAGATGTGCCTCCCTTTCAAGGGTCAGGGCAAGAAGTGGTGGACCAGGCCTCTATTGTCCAGTTGCTAATGACAGCCTTGCAACCAGAGGCAGAGGCAAGGAAAGCTACAGGCTCAGCTCCTTTAAAGTGCCTTACACAATCTGCCATTGTACTAGGAACTGGCAGAACCTCTCAAAGTTTGGAAAGTACTTTCTCTTTTATTGTTTCCTTTGAAGAAGGCAGAGCAGAGAATATCTCAAATGCCATTGTTTAGATGAGGCTCAGAGAGGTGAAGTGCTTTGACTAAGATTTCACCCAGTTTAAGTCAGCTAGGTCTGACTCCAAAATTATTCCCTTACACCATAGAACTGTGTGGAATTGGGGTCTATAGAGAACCAATAAAGTTGATGATATGGAACCAAGATCCTTGAGAGTCTTAGGGAGAAACCCAGAGATGCCCATTTTCATTACTTGATAGTAATCCCAGTTCTCTTGGCTGTCAGGGGCTCTTGTAGCAAAGAGTCACACATCTCTTTGGGAAACAGCCATCAGCCATAGAGGCTGCTGAGAAGAATCTTCTTGGCATCACATCCAAGCAGCAGCCTCTGGGACCCCATAATGGGTAGTCCCTGATGTTCTTTTCACCCATCTGACAAAACAAGCAGCCATCACAAATGGAGTCCTACTGTGGGCAAAGTCCTCCTTACAGACAGACAGCCACCAGGAGCCCACTGACTCCTCACAGCTACTAAGTGACTCCTTATCTCTTTCTACCAGAACACAGAGACCTTGATAATATCAGCATCTCTCAGGGAAGATTCGAGAGAAGGCTGATTCTAAAGCCAAGTGGGTATGAGGAGAAAGGAGGAAAAAACTTCTGAATTGTACCCCTAAAGGACAGTCTGACACCCATCCCATTCTCCAGATATGGAAGGGATTGTAGGGAAAGCAGGATTCCCACTGGACCCCACATTCTTTCTGAACCCTCCCTAGAGGGGGAGTGATGGTAAAGGAAATAAGAAATAGCTGGGGAACCCTGCTGTGGTCTAGTCATTGGTGAAGTAGTGAAGCAGTTTACTGTTGGAGGATGTGGAGATAGATTTACAGTTTGGAATTATGATGATGGGAATTTACCAGAAGGCTAAGGCTAGTGTGGAGAATGGGACAAGGACATTGGAGGGGAAGCAGATGACAGGTTTGCAAGAGAATTGCATGGCAGGAACCTCTGCCAGCTGCTTGGCTTCAACAGCCAAGCTGGTACAAAAGGCAGCTGTGGGAGGCTGCTCAGCTACTGGTTCCCTGTAAAATGTAGCATTTGCTTTATTTCCCCCACTTCATCCATCCTGAGCCATATTTCTTTTGCTTAACAGGAAAGGGCTAAGAACCCTGTATGCACTCACATGTGAGTGTGTGTGTCTTCTGTAACTAGAAGATTCAGAGAAATTTAAAACTAAAAAGGCCTTTAGAGGGAATATAGTCTGACCTACACTCCACCCTCTTACTCATGTGGAAACCGAGGCCCAAAGAGGGAAGGTGATCTTCCCAATGATGAGCAAGCTCTGACCTCCAGATTCAGCAGAGAAAAGGAAGGAGAAGAGCCACCCCTGTTGTATGGGGCCACCTTCTTTCTTCCACCCACCTACTCAAGGCTGGACGTGCTTGGCCCCTTTAAGGAGCCTGGCCAGGCAGGGAGAGGAGAGAGGCAGCCTTCATCAGAACTCTGCTCTGCCCCCCCATACACACATTTGCCCAGCTCCTGCCTGTGTACTAAAAGGTTCCAGATTGGCCCAGTACCAGGAAGTTCTTAGGCCACCCTAGTGCTGCCTCAGGTCCCACCCTTGCCTCAAGGCTCCCCTAGGCCTTGCCAGTACAGAGAAGGAACCCAATTTTTTTCTCTCTTAATCCATTTCAGGGCTCTCCAGGAGGCATTGGGGTGTGTTATTTCTTTATTCAGAAAGCTCCAGCTGGGATAGGGGAGAGTAGGCTTTGTTGTGATAATGGCCTGGAGCAGGCCCATTGCTGCTTTTGGGGGGTCAGCATCCAGTGTGAGATACTGTGTATATAAACTATATATAATGTATATAAACTGGGATGTAAGTTTGTGTAAATTAATGGTTTATTCTTTGCAAATAAAGCGCTTTCCCCCTCCTGTTCTTGAAATCAGTTTGAGCACTTCCTATGGGCTAGGTGCTTCTTTGCAAATTATGCCACTCATGAGCTAGAGAAGGGACCAAGGCACTCATTTCAGAGGGAACAAAAGAAAGAACATAGTCTGAATTTCCTGTCAGGAGCATCCCACATCCTCTCTGTGCTCCAAACCACATGCCCCCATCCCTATCACCCTAGATCTACTGGAACCATATTCCCGGGAGGCTAGATGTCCTGCCAAAAGGAATATTGTCCTGGGGCAAGGACACCAGCATGTGAGACTAACAAATATTTCAGGCCTTGACCCAAAACAGCTTGGGGGAATCCAGCCTTCAGCTCATCATTAAGGTATCACCTCATTTTGCAGATGAGAAGAGCAATGCTCAAAGATTTTAAGCAGCGTGTGGAAGGCCACCCACCTAGTAGGTGTTTCAGCCTTGTCAGTTCCCAGTGCAGGACACTTTCCCCTCTACCTTGCTGCCTCTGCCTCTTGGTTCATGCTCTTCCTGTGGAGGCTTGTCCTAGGAAAGAGGCCCACTGGAAGAGGACCAGATAAGAGAACTCAGAAACATGTAGCCCAAAAGCATTCTGGTCACTTTTCACAACCCAATGCAGCCTTTGTCTCCAATGTATAGATGGAGAATGTGACATGTAAGCACAGAAGCCCAGGTTGATCTGTAGAGGCCAGATGTGCATAGGCCAGATGTTGGAACCCAAGATGGTCCTCTGGCTGCCTTAAAGGGGATTTTTTGATTATTTGTTTGTTTTGTTTTGAAAGGGAAAATAGTTACAGGAAACTTGGAGACTATTTCAAAACACCATGGGGTATAACTCAGTGGTAGAGCACATCCTTAGCATGTACAAGGTTCTGGGTTCCATCCCCAACACCCAAACAAAACAAAAGCACCTTATGATAACTCAGGGAGCACATAATCCCTGGCACAAGAAGTACCAGAGAAAGCAAAAAAGTGGAAGCATTTTTTGCCGCATCATGTGTAAATCATCACATGAGGCAGGCACCCAGGGCAAAAATGTATGTTACACTATATACAGGGTATTCTAGACCAAATTGAAAAATTCAATGCAGGTAAATCATTGGACCAAAAGGTGTTCCACTCAACAGGGATAGAACAAGGGCCCTGTGGACCAAATTTTGTTACCTGTCATTGCAGTATCCACTGGGCCAAGAGTCTGAGAGACTTGCTACTTGGAAGGAAAGTACTCTATGGCTACTGGAAAACAGGTACTCAAAGGACAGAGTCATAGGGCCAGGCAAGTACAGTCAAGTTGCTAAAGGAAAGATGGCAAATAAGGCCTGAGCCTGACACATTCTACTATAGCTTTATGAGATGGAAAACAAGTATGTATAAAGAGTGGCAGTTGGTAGCCATTTCTTAAACTTTCAACACAAGATCATACACTATTAAGTTTCTTTTAAAATCGAGATGACACGAAATTGAGGGCATTGTTAACTCAAGGACAGGAAATGGTTGGAGAATAATCTGGTATAGCTCTCCAGTTTATAAAGTTCAGTCACATCCAGTATCATTTGCTCTTCCCAACGGCCTTTGAGGTAGGTAGGGGAGGGATTATTGGTCCCATTTTACAGATAAAACTGAGGCTCAGAGGAGACTGTCCTCAAGGTCACATGGCTTGAAGGTAGTAAAGCCTAAACTCAAAGCCCACTGGCTCTTAAAGCACCGGGTCCTACAAGAGGCTGATGCAAAAAGATGGGGCTATTGGAGATTTCAAGGATAGACTTGAGCTGGAACCCAAAGCCCTCAGAACAGACTAGTTGGGGCTCACGTAATATCTGAAGATGGGCTTTTTATTGTGTCCATTGTTTTCCTCAATTCTGATGCCTTCTAAGGGAACCTTCAGGGCACCTCTACCCTAGGGCATCCCTGCCTCTTGGAGCTAACTCCCCATGGCCCTCAGGGGAAATCAAAGAGCTAAAAGGAGAAAGATGGAAGTGGAAGGACCAGTACAGAGAACACCCCCATGGACAACCCCCCCCCCCCCCCCCATGAGGACTGATCAAATCGAGAGCAGGAGTCCGATAGGAGACTTTCGACCTCCTATTTTCACAGGTTTCACACCTTCCAACCAAGCTGCGAGGCTGCTGGGATGTCTGTCAAACTACCACCAGCTCCTGAGTCTCTGAGATGCCAAACTTGGTCTTATGCTGGTCAAACAGTTTGCGTAGGGCGTCAATATAGAGTGTGTGGTATTTAGCCACAAGGTCCTTGCTCGGATTCTCAATCTTGGGCAGTGCTAGAGGCTCCCCGACTGCCAGGGGAGACAGAAGAGGGAACAGGAAAAGTATCAGTATGGCTCATTCCTCAGAATAGGTGCCCTAGGCCTCAAGCCCAGCTTCTCCCCACCCTTGCCCCCAACTTGCCACGCATCCTAGCCAGCCTCCCTGTCTCTGAGCACAGCCAGAGCCAAAGCTCCCCTCAGAATGGATCCTGCATCCTCGACTGATGCTGCCAATAGAAAGGGATACTCACCAACGGTGGTTAGAGTCTGGGCATGGGGCAAAAGGCCCCAGGAATTCTTGGTGAAACCACGCCCATAGAAAGCACAAGGGTAGATATGTACTACACGCTGGAACCATTTCTGAAAGCGGTTGACCAAGCCCCCAGGAGTAAAAATGTGCTGATTGTAGAGGTCTGTCTCTCCAAAGACATAGGCAGGGATTAGAGCCACCCTGAAAGGAAAAAGCATCTTCTTTAATGCCCAGAAAGTTAGGGACCTTGCTGAAGGCAGTCCCTCAGTCTGTCTGCAGGCCTCCCCAGATCTCAGTCCAGCTGCACCTAGGTCCAGGCTGAGTGTGGGGGCTCCATGGCCTAGCCCAGGCTTCCCATGGAGGCAAAGCAGCAGCAACCTCAAGGATGCAAGCCCAGGTACTCCTGGGAACCCCCTGGTCTGAATTTCCATAAAACCCAAGGGCCATTTCATTCAGCTTCCTTCCCTTTACCCCACATGATAAGCTCGCTCTCTCTAAGCTGGGGTTTCAGCCTGACCCCTTTTCAAGAGGGACTGGCCCAGATGAGAGGCTAATGTGAGGGAGAACAGGCTGAGGGCTGGCCATCTACCCTTTCTCCATATGCAGAAAAGCCTCCAGGACTTGGCTGTTGCTCTACTCCAACCTGGACACAAGGTTGCTTTTTTGTTTCAATAACAAATACAAATTGTATATGTTTATTATGGCCCTGGTTAGTAACAGTAAATTGTATATTCCCACCTCCCTCTTTAGATACCACTTCCTCAAAACCCTTCCCTCTTTCCCCATTGGGCTTTTGGATCCCCACCACCCCTGCTTCTGGACTGGAGCTGTCCTTACCCATGCCGAAGGGCCATGCGCACAAAACCACACCGGTTCTTCAAGACCAGGGTGGAAGAGCCTGGCAAGCTGTATCTGCACTCAGCCAGGCCACCAACCACCACAATGAGCATGTTGCCTGTTCCTTTCTGGGTAAGTAGAAAGTCCATGGAGGATTGGCTCACAGAGCAGGCCCCTGGCAGGCAGAAAAAGTCAAGAGGTCTTTGGCCATGTTCCAATCCCCCAAACATCCCCCCCTCCATCTGTATTTAAGGGAGGGGAAGAGCTAGAAGCCTCCTTTTAGGCCAGCCTAGTATAGCTGTTCAGGATCAGAGGATCATGGAGTTGGCCTTGCTCTCACCCACCTCCCCATTTTTTTCTTTTTGACCTTATGCCCTAGAAGCCAACTCACCTGTAGACATTATGTATTCTCTGAGGAAAGGCACCCAGAAAAAGGCTCCCAGGGTGAGCATATAAGGGGTGATGCCAGGAAACATCTTGGTGAAGTTTTTATTGTCGGTGGCAAAGTTACCAAAACATGCATGGGACATGAGCCCATGAGGGTGGCAGGCAAGGATGTAGTTGTGGCTGGGGGAAATATCATGAGTCTTCAAAAGCTGTAGAGGAAAGTGGAGTCAGGAGAGCTACAGCCAGGGCAGTGGCCTCCTGTTGGCCAGAGACCTGGAAGGAAAGGGCTTCTGGGAATGGCTATGTAGGTTGGGCAATGTACAACCCCAGCAGGCATCACTCTCATAGGCCCCGATATGGATGGTACCCACCACCACAACTGACCCAGCTGCTGACCCTGGAATTGGCACTGGCCTGGGGTCCCACTGGGGCTCTGGGGCTACTCACCTTGATGGGGAAGTAATTGCAATAGTGTTTCCACAGGCACCACTTTCTCACACAGGGAAACCGGCGACCACCTGAAAGCAGAAGCAATGTAGCACAGCTTTGTCCACCCCACTGTCCTCTTCCCTTGCCACAGGGTACTCTTATCTACTGCTGGCCTCTTAAAAGTGACAACCTGGGTAAGCATATCAGGGCCAATTTAGGACAGGGAGCTTCTGTTTCATGAGCTTCCCCTTCCCTAACCCACTCCAGTTCTAACTGGGGCCTTTTCTGACACCTTAAAAGGAACCCTTCCCTCAGCCTCTCTAGCCCAGGGAGAGACAGGCTGAAGGGCTGCCAGGGAATTGGCCAAAGACTCTCAGGATTAGGAGAGAAGAGGGAATTGTATGTGGTACATGGCAACACGGTTGCACAGGGCCCTTACCTCTCTCAGGGGTCTTCCAGTCAAAAGCCAGCCAGGTAAGAATGAGCACAGTGACAGGCCAATATGGTGTGAACACCACCAGGTAGAGGTTGATGAGGAGCACAGTGATCACTGGAGGAAGCCCAGCCCAGAAATAATGAGTTGTGAACAGTCCTGCACACTTACCCTCCCTCCCAAGTTCTGTCCACCAAGTCACACATACTCTCACCCAGGCCCACTGAACCCTCACTCCCTCACCCTAGTACATGGTTTGCATGCTCAGGTCCCCAGTCCCCTTCTGCTCTCTGACATTGGGAACCTGATTCAAGTCTAGAAGTCAAGGAGTTTTCCTCTCCTCTCCAACTATGCTTCACACAGTAAGCCCTCCATCCCCAGGACCTTGCCCCAGCATTGAGCTTGGCTCTGTCTGCAGTGGGGTCAATGGCAGGTAGCCACTTATAGCCATCAGAAGATGGGACTCCCGGAAGAGTTTTCCTCCAACTCATGTTTTTCTCTTTGTATCTTCTCTGCAAGACTTCAGTGGAGGGGACACCAAGGAAGTGAAGACCCAACTTCAGCAGGTTGGAAGCATACAAGATGGCAAACAAGAAACAAAGGAAAACAAAAGCTGGGATAGAAGAAGGTACTAGGCCACATTAAGCTCCAAGAAGCTAGGAATAGTGTATGTTGGAGTACTAAAGAGTTACTGGAGATGAGTCATAGGGAGCCACACTTGGTATTATTATTGGGCTCAGTGCTTAAAGCATCGGTGGGTAAGATTGTGTGGGAAAGTGGGTCAAAATCAAGGTTAGAGAAGACAGAAAACACTCCTAATTGAACATAATAGATTGAACACAACTTTTTGTCTTGACTTTTTGCTGGAGCCCCATGAAAACTATCCCTAAAATGTTTTTTAATATAGATCCACAAGAAGAAAAATAATTAAGAGAGGCCCAACAGTGGATGAGAACTATCTGCAAATATTTGCATGTTGTAAAATAGATGAAAGAGAAGGTAATTAAGAAAAAAGAAAACTGGGAGTGGGACTGTAGCTCAGTGGTGGAGCACTTACCTAGCATGTGTGAATCACTGTGTTCCATCCTCAGCACTACATAAAAATAAATAATTAAAATAAAGGTATTGTGTCCATATATAACTAAAAAAGTTTTTAAAAAAGAATAAAGAAAGCTGGAGTCTAAGCGCCTGTGAGGGGAATACCTACAAGAAGCAAGCCTGCTTGCACTGAAGAATCTGGCAAAGACTTGGAATTTGGAGGGACCCAGTGTCCCAAAAGGCAGGGATGATGCACAGGCTTTAAAAATCAGTGGTTGAATTTATCTCAAGGAATTAAAACTGCAAGTCTCATCTCCTCCCCTACACAACTAGATGATGGGAGAATTACTCTCTGAAAAATTGAACCAAAGAAATTCTAGATTTAAATGTAGATGGTCCCAAACTTATTATAATGGTTTTACTTACAGTGTTTCAACATTATGATGATGTAAAAGTGATATGCATTCAAAAAAACTGAACTCCAATTTTTGAATTTTGATATTTTCCTGCACTAGCAATATGTGGTATGATCCTCTCTTGCATGCTGGGCAGTGGCAGCAAGCCACAGCTTCCAATCAGTCACATAATCACAAAGATAAACAACTGAGACTCTACAGTGCTATGAGGTTCAGTAGGTTAGATGTATTAAATTCATTTCTGATTTAAGATATTTTCAACTTCCAATAGCTTTATCAGGACATAACCTCATAATGATTCAAGGAGCTTCTAGACTTACCTGACACACAGCTGGGATACTCTGTATAGCCAAATTATTCATCAAATGTGAAAGTAGAATACAATTTCAGATATACACAATTTCAGATCATTTCTCTCCCATATCCCTTTCTCAGAAAACTCTTTGAGGATTTGTTTCACCAAAATTATGGTGTAAACCCAGAAAGAGGAAGGCATAGGATCCAGGAAAATGTTGATCCAATGAAGCAGGGTCAGGGCTAGGAAGAAATGAGCATAGTCCTCAGGACACAAAATTTAAGGAGACAGTCACTCTTAGGGATGTGCAAGCACTATCCCAACACTTGCATATCCCTGAGAATGAGGACCTTCTTAAATTTTGCACCCAAGTTGCCTCAAGGACCTGTATTAGGCCAGATGGTAACAAGAAAATGCTAGGCTCCAGCAGCGGATGTGTTCAAAGAAATAAGAAGAGTGGGGGTGGGGGACTTAAAGATTCCTGATGTGGGGGCTGGACTTGTGGCTCATGTTAGAGCACTTTCCTTGCACATGTGAGGCCCTGAGTATGATCCTCAGCACTACATAAAAATAAATAAATAAAAATAAAGATTAAAAAAAGACTCCTAATATGTTTGAATATTTTGAGAGATTGAAATGTCTGTGGGGAATTTGGAGATGAATTAGTTATAAATAATAGATGTCTAACAGATAACAAAAGAAATTTAAAATGAGTCAATTACGAACTCCAGGGAAAACAAGAAGTCACACAAGAGCAGAAACATAATCTTGGTACACTAAAGAGTTTGATTGTGACTAAGATTTCCTAGGTATGACCAGGCATTTAATCAATATCTGTGCTATAACAATTTGGGGAGGGAGGGGAAAGAAGAAATTCTAGCAATGTTGTATAGAGCCAAATTCTCATCTTCACTATTAGGAAGTCAATATTAAGAAGTCAATCTTAGGTATATAGAAATATTAGAAAGTCATCTTCAATATTAGAAAGTCATAGATAGTGTCTAAAATAGTTATATCAGAAAATAGTAATATTTAGGGCTGGGGCTTTAGTTCAGTGGTAGAGCATTTCCCAGCATATGCAAGGCCCTGGGTTCCATCACAATATGAGAGAGAGACAGACAGACAGACAGACAGACATAGACAGAGGAAGGAAGGAAAGAAAGAAAGAGAATAGTAATATTTAGGAATTCCAAATAGTAAAATTCAGAAATATGGAGGTAAATTAAAAAAAAGCTAACAAAATTGAAAGTGACTGCCTCAGGGCTGTGGTTGTGGCTCAGTGGTAGAGCACTTGCCTAGCACATGTGAGGCCCTGGGTTCGATTGTCAACACCACATGAAAATAAATAAATAAATAAATAAATAAAGGTCTATCAACAACTAAAAAAAAAAAAAATTTAAAAATAAGGTGTCTGCCTCTGGGGAACAGAACTAAGACTAAGGATAGAGCAAAGGCCAGCAGTTGTGGCTAGCAATTGTGATACAAGCCACATAAAACTATTGACTTCAAGAATTAAAGAGAGGCATGGATATAGTACAGAGGACACTTCCTAATTTCCCTTAGGCTTTGCTCAAACCCAGGCAGTGTTGCAGACAGGAACATGGCCTAGGTCAGAGCACTCTACACTGGGATGAATCCTGGATCTGCACTTACCATGTATGTGATCAAAGACAAAGCTGAACCTTATCTGCAAAATGGGAATTAAAATACCAATATCTATCCTGTCTTCCTCACACTTATTAAAAGGGTCTTCTTTTCAAGGCCTTTAGGTTCCAAATGGATATAACTCCACTCATCAAGTGAAGAACTAGGAGGGTTTCAAAGGCGCATTTGCCTCACTTGTCCCATGTGAGCTGGTATGGGAGGAGCCAACCCTGGAACCCACATCTTCTGCTGCCAGGACCTAGAGCTCTTCTGCCTGCCCCATGCTACCACTCTGTGCACCCCAGAGCCTAACTC